AAGGCCGTACGCAAAGAGCAAGGGGCACTGGATGCCGCCGTAGAACAACAGAGCATGAAGATCGCCGCCTAAGATTATTGGCCTTAAGGGACCGTTTCTCCACTACCAGGTCCATTGCAAATGAATGGTTTGCAGAACACGGAAGACCTATTGGCATGCGAAGTGTTTATCGACGAATGAGAAGTTTTGGCTTGTTTTCATACCGGCCACACTGGGTCCTCCCTTTAACTCGAGAACACCGACGTAATCGCCTTGAGTGGTGCAGACAACGGTCACTCTGGGATCAGGATCGTCTTTAGTGACGAGTCTCGATTTTGTTTAGGCATGCACGATGGTCGTGCCAGGGTTAAAAGGCGACGTGGTGAAAGGAGGAATCCACAGTTTTTTGTTGAAAGACATGTTCATCACACTGTTGGAGTTATGGTTTGGGGTGCTATAGCTTATGGTTCCAGGTCACCTTTAGTCTTCATCAGTGGTAACATGAACGCGCAGCGTTATATCCACGAAGTTCTGGAACCCCATCTTTTACCCTATCTTGACACCCTGGCAGATCCAACTTTCCAACAAGATAATGCCCGACCACATGTTGCAAGAGTCACAATAGACTTCTTTCAACATAATGATGTCACGAGAGGAGTTGGTGGTTGCCTGGAATGAGATACCACAGGATGACATTGACCACCTGATCAGAAGCATGACTAGGCGCGTTGGAGAATGCGTAGCACATCAGGGTGCATCCACACATTATTAAAGGTCAAAGGGCTTTAAAGCAGTGCAATCATTTTGAAATTTTTTTATATTTTATTTATATTTACTTATTATGCTTCATTAAGTACTTATACAAAATTTTATTAAAATAAAACCATTTAAACTGGGTGTTCGGATTTATATGTCACTTAGTATATCTTACTATACCAAATAATTGCTGATTTCTAGAGGCATGATTCTGCGATACCTGTGATGATGTGAAAGGACAACCAGGCTTATCTCATTTTATATTTATTTTATCCACACAGCTTGAGAATTGGAACATGTGGGGCTGAATTATGGGGATATCCTCAGAGACTTTTTTTTGAAGCTACGGATGATAAAAATATCAAAGACAGACAGACCTGAGGGGTATCTAAAAATAAAGTTATGTGGGCTGATGTATAATCATATATTCTGGGTACACATGTCTATACGAGGAGGAACATATCGATTTCCTACAGACTAAGATTAACAGAAACTCAATTTTGGTAGCCATCGATAAGTTACCGATACCTTCAACTATGGTGAGGTAACAGGTATCAACGATATTGGCCTGTGAATGCTTTGTTTGTATTTTTTGTTTATCTTTATTTTATTCTATAGAAATCTACTTATTGTATAGTAAAATTATTTTAAGAGCTGCAAACTTAAAATGCTGTTCTTGCTCTGATTAGGTACGCTTTCTCTGTACCGCCATTTATTGTTAGGTAAACCACGTGTGCTGAAAAATGAGCTGTTTGGATAGTCCGGATAATTTCGCTTTAGCAATTTCTAAAGGAGGTATTAAATAACCCATAAATAAGAGAAAGCTTTAATCTGGTTGGCTAGACTCCCACATTTGGGACATGGTACACAGAGATGATTTTCAAAATGGCTGAAAGCGCATCATACGTTGGTGAATGGTGATTTATTGACGTTATATGCAACAGTACGGCGGTCTTTTTCGACGGGTCACAGGGTGGGGTAATTTGTTGTATACAAAACAGGAATTTTTTGTATGAGTTACGATGATTTACAGTGAACTACGCCGAGGATTGCAGGAATTCTTTACATTTTCATAGTGAAAATTACTCAAGATGAACTGCAAGATGTATCAAATGCCTGTTTCTTGGTGCTAGTTGTCCCTCAAGGCAACAGCGGAACCACTCGCATCCAGAATTCACGTTTAAAATAACCCAGAAATATTAGACATTTCCTACGAAAAAGTATCACATGCAATATTTTAGTAGACAAAGTCTAATATACCTGGGGTATTCCGATTTGGAATTCTAGAGACAAGCAAAGTGAAGTTAATGATAAAATAGTTGGCGGTTGCGGTAACCCTATTGATTTAAGTGCTCAACGTATGTTTTAATGCCTTCGTCTCCCTATACTGCTGAATAATTCTCTGATTGTGATATAAATACATACTTACGTAGCACTTTGTAGTTGCATGTGTTGGTTCACCAAGTAAACAACGGTAGGGAAATACTAATGAGCTAAAAGTGAGTATATAATTTTACATAATTGTATTTTTATTGTATTTGTTTCGGTTTTATCAGGAACTAGCTGACCCGACAGACGTTGTCCTGTCTTAGCTATATAACTGGGGTAAATAGTAAATAATAAAAGGTAAAATATGTGAAATGTAGTTAACTGTATAGCGAACTGTTTGTACCGCCATGTGGCTAGCAAAATACGATACCTTGAAAGTAGGCATAAAACTATGTCGAATGAATTTTGTTGCGCCAAATGATGTCATTTGAAAACAATTATTCTATTGCTGGATATGTGTCCAAAAATGTATGGAATTTGACCTATTTCTGGAAAATGAATGTAGTGGTACCAATGAGGTCAATTTGATTTTTTCCCTGACGCAACATAATTCAGGTGCCTCGTTTTTAAACTTGAAAGTCTTGCGATGTGGACGCATATTGATCCAACAGCAACGATTTGTTGTGAACTGTAATCGATTGCCACGTCATAATTGAATGCAACTCGATTGGGAGTGACACTACTACGTTGTTGAATTTCAGTCCTTCGATCCCGTTCAACTTTATTTCTCGCTTCTTATTGCTCGTCAGTTTGACCTCTTCGTATATGTATTTGACTTGCAGCATTGCAAGTCCTGCGACCTAGGTTGGTAAGTCTAATTGGTGGCATTTTGAAGAATCACAATTTTAATTTCCACCCTTGTTAATTATTTTTGAACAAGTGCCTCTCAAAGAACTCGCTGAACACACTGAGAACTGGATAAAAGCTCTAATCGAATGGTCTGTGCAATACAAAGTAAATTATTAGTAATAGTAATAATAGTAATATTTTTTCATCGATAAACACTATTAAGCGATAATATAAATTTGCGGCGTTCTAGCTGCCAAGTTCGAAATCAGTAGGGAAAGTCAATTAAGCAAAATAAACGCATTTTCTTCCGCCGTTTTTATTCATAGAGTTAACTGGCAAAGAGAACAGTTAGGCAACACTACAGTTTCTTTTAAAGGAGCCGTACTTTGTACGGATGGCAAGGAAACGTAAGTCCAAAAACGGAAGCACCGTGTTTACATAGCTAACTGTCAATAGCTGTTGGAATAAAGATGGCGGAGAGGAGTGCCTGTCTCTTTTGGTACTTGAGATATTTCTTCGGCTGTGCATGCTCCATGGTCAAGCAACCTGTCAAACGCACGTAGCTTAAATAATCCTTAGGTTTTCGATGATTTTCCAATTTTCTGCGCAATTTTCTTGATTCTTCTTTTCGTAAGAACCTTCTATACAGCACTAGGAAGCTTTTTTAAAAAAGCATGAATGAAATCGGTAAAGTCGTTCTCAAGTTATGGCGTGACCTCGCGACATAGGGATACATTTTTATATTGTACTTCGGAGTGTTGTTTTTCAGGACATCAAAACATACTTTGATTGAGCATCCCCCGTTGAAGCAATGATTAACTATTCTGTTCGCGCTCTGATAACAAAAACCAACGCGCGATTTTCGAATCCTCGAGCTCTTTTTGGCCAGCGTATTTTAACCCTGGAGCGCTTAGGCGAATAGCACGGCTATAGTTGCTTAGGCGGGGTTACCAATAACCCCAGTGATATATTCCTATTTAATGAACAAAATATAAAAGATAGACACACTTTTGTTTCAATAATAAAACATTTATTTCAAACACTCGGTACATATTTCAGCTCGATGATTACTGCAAACAGCCTTGAAACATTTCGCACAGGCAGTTTTTGTTTTTCGGTCATTTGATCTTGGACATAAAATGCAGCGAGTCTGTTTTAGCAATTTTGCTGGAGGTGGATCAACTTTTTCTTCTGTTTTCATATCTAGAATATTTATTATTGATTCTTTCAATTTTCGAGGTATTGGTTTTGTCAAACGTCTTTCCATATGAGGCCTGACCAGTTGTAGTCCAAGTTCAAATAGGTATTTTCGACGAACACTTTTTTGTCTATCACGCTTAACAATTTGGAAAATAATGTTGGAGTTAATGCCTGCTTGATCCATTATACCATAAAAAAAGCGTAATGGCCACCTGCGTGTTTTGCGGGATACCGAATATGTGTGCACCATCTGGTCAAAGGTATCGACACCTCCTTTGGTAGAATTGTAAAAATTGATTATCTCGGGTTTTTTATTTTCATCTATTGTACTACCAGAATGCATTGTCGATAAAAATAGCACAGATTTAGACTTCTTGGGCGTGAAGGACACCAAGGTTTTTTGGTTGTCGAATCCAAATTGAGAAGACATAATTTCTTTTCGTTTGTTTGGGAGAAATGATGGAGGAATTTCCCTCTTGTTTTTTCTGAGAGTACCCACAATGGTCAAATTGTAGTCAACAAGCATTTTGTCAGCCAGTGGGATGGAAGTAAACCAATTGTCCATCGTCAAATTGCGTCCGGTTCCATGAATGGGTTCTGTCAGTTTTCTTACGTAATAAGCTAGGAGAGGTTCTTTATCTGGCCTATTTTCTTTGCCGATATATGGAATAACAGTAACCATATAATATGTGCGTGAATGACACATCGTTAGAACTTTGATTCCATATTTGTCAGGTTTTGATGAAATATATACTCTAAAAGGGCAATTGCCTCGAAATCCCATTAACTGTTCATCGATGGTACACTAACTGTGAGGAGTATAGTATTTTGTACAGTTAGATATAAACGTTTCCCATATATTACGTACTGGAGAAAATTTATCTTCTCGGTCGCTCATGGTTTTGTCGTCAAATCTGAGGCAAGATATCAAAAATCTAAACCTTGTTTCACTCATTACGCATCGATACACTTCTGATCCATGCTTTGACCACATTTCTGCTATAGTTACAACCTATAATAATATAAAGCAGTCCTATCAAAGCCAAGATCTCTTCAACGTCTGTCTCGTTAACAAAGCCACAATTAGCAACATATTTCCCTCTTTGTCGTTCTATTTCCATATTTGTATGCACCGCTATAATATCTATAACATTCGCGCTAAAAAATAACTTCCATGCCTCTAATTCCGTTGAAATATTTTTGGCCGCACCTTTTGGTCTTGGAATACATGAAACAATGTTTCGCTTAGGTGTTCGAGTACGACATGGAAGCTCAGTGCTCCAAATATGTCCATTTTTTCCTTTTATTACTTTGCCAGGAAGTTGTTGTTCTGTCTCACACTCTACTTCACTATCATCCGTTGAGTAGGTGCTCTCCCTGTCTGACTGAATTGAAACATGGTCGTCATAGTCAGTGCCGTCATTATCTGAATCAGGTTCATTGTCGAGTTCTTCATTCCATCGTAACAGAGTTTCTTCAAATTTGGGATCATCTGGTCGGACAGCCATCTAAATAAATTACGTAATCTAGTGTGTGGAATGAAATAAAAACACCAGTTTAAGCTTACCTGGTGTTACTCGTCACCCCAAACACAAAATATCATATAAACTATTGTACTGAACAAAAATGTGCGACCAACAACACACACACTTTAACCTCAAATGAATATAGCGGGATCTCCGATGTTGCCAATTTATGCACAAAAAATTAGTGAACATTTGAATTTTCTTTGGGGTGATGCGAAACCCCACTAAGCATTACAGCGTTAAATGTTTGGGGGCCAATGTTTGGAGACAAATAACTGGCGTTCGAATAATGCGGCATACATGAGGTTTGACGAGGGTCAAGTGGATACATAAAATAATTTTCAACATACAAGCCCCGCTGAAAGGAGTAGTACACCTATATTTTCTGTAATAACTTGTAAGGATTTCGGTAAATGTTTTGTAGACAGATTCTACTTTTAGTACAGTATTGTACTGGAAATATCTGAAATGATTCACTTATTTCTTATTCATTCATTAAACAATTATTCATGTCCTAGTTGGTTGTACGACTTCAACCTTTAGGCCACAGACAAGCATTTTTTCATTTCTTCAAATCTGTCAAACTTTTGTCATTGAAATCAATGGCCTGTACAGCTAAGGGGCAAGTCATATCAAAAACGTCTCCAAACTTGTTTTCGGTTGCGGTTATTTCCGGACAGGTAAACCGTCTTCCTCTAAAAGTCAGCATTTGCAAGCGATACTTGAGTTTTATTTTTTTCACCTATGAATTGATCCCTCCCGTCCAGCTTTTTTGTATGACCAGCCAGAACAAAAATTTCTATATACAAGTTACAGAGTCCAATATGGAATCTAATTCAAGATTTATGTGGTTCATCAGTTAGCATCTAGCCGCCTAAGCAATCTCGTATAGGGCCTAAATGCACATGATTAGATGACATACAAACCTCAGTCTTTGGCTAAGGTAATTAAAATGAGTTTTACAGTTTCACAAACCATATATAGGTATTAGGTATCAGACAAAAGGGGCTATCGTTTTCACTGAAAATGTACAGGGTGTTCCATTTTCAAAAACAACTTAATTTAGTAGCACTTTTCTGAGACACCCGTATACAAAAAATATTACAAGAAAAACGTCATATTAGACCCTATAACTTTCAAGTACAACTTTTCTTCTCTAGTAGGTCATATAAAAACCCTGTACCTAAAATAAAAATTGTTTCCCACTGTCTACTACATTCGTACAAACAACATCGCCGGTTTTCTACTTTTCAGTATCAAATTCCTTTGACTGCCACTCCCAACTAACAATTCTCACTCCTATTAGAGTTGCAAGAATGATTATACAGTATTCCTTAGACAGCATTGCATCCTGTAAGAACATTGGCAAAACCCTCTTAGAACAGCTATACAAGCGGAATGGGCATACCTAATAGGACACTTCAGTCATTTAAGAGGTTGTATAAGGGCTGCAGGTAACAGTTATAAAACAAAAGTGTAAGCCTCTTGCTGCCGCTATAGGACATTTGCGTCAGTGCAAGATTCAGTTTTTGTCAACTATACAACTATTATGTTACGTGATTCTACTTTATTGCAACCAAACTATTTCTTATGTATTGCATAGACGAAGTGAAGAATATATAACTAACACATTACAGTCATCTTGTTTACTTACATATCGGCCATTGTGAATTTCATACATGATAAACTTCTACACTTTGATATAGGGCTATTGAATTACTTGCGCAGAAAATTTTATTGTGATTATCGTGCTAACTAGTTACCCAATTTCTATGGGCTTCGTATTTAATTCATATTTTGACAATGATCAAAAGTATGTCTAGATTTTTAAGATGGAAAACTGAACTTATCTGCGTTAAATCTTCCACAAATCCTATATTTAGACACAATTACACTAATGTTTTTCACTTTATATCTGTAATTTCGAACTGAAACATAATTATTTAATATTAAATAGAGGACTAAATGTTTGCCCAATATGGCGGGTGGTTGTGTACAATCATGGCATCGTCCATGTTGTCTTTAGGTTACTAGAATACTTTGGTGTTGCCTGCAGGTGTTATACAACCATTTGGCAAATGTCTGAAATGAAATACCGACAGAGTCGAATGATTTACCCAGAATTTGTACCAGATCTATATCTTCTGTTTGAACAGTTGATAAAACCTTTTGAACCAATATGCATGCGTTGTTTGTCTCAAAACATTGGTTATGGCATTTTAACAAAAATATGAGAGCGGAAAGTTAGGTTATGGTGAAGTTGTTTACCAACACATTTAGCATAATATGTACAGCCTTTAACAGTTACTAAACAACAGTTGTATAAGTGCTTCCGTTGGGAGATATTTGTTGGCTAAAGTAGTAAATTGCACAGCAAAACAACAAGGCACGTTTTATAAACGTTACCATGGATGCCACAACACAACCATTTTGACTAACGTGCAAATATGCCGTATAAAATAGTTGTATAAACGTTTATGCAACAGGCAAAAATTTGCCCTATAAGGTGTTGTATAAACTATGCTATAAGAATATTTTTAATCACCTCATTGGTGTTCAGGCAACAACAATAGAGAGCTTTTATGGCTGAACGGTTCTTTTACCAAAAGCTTATACCACTACTTTGCTAGTTGGGACTAGACATCCCAACCATTGAAAACTAGACTCCATCACAAAATTTTTGATGTAGCAAACTTGGCGAATAACCACCAAATGTGTCAACATGCGCTAACCGATCCCAGGATGCCGGATACGCTTGCCTTATGAATTTATTTGAAGCCCAAACCGAGCCGAAGCCTTGCGATGGCGTTCGGAACGGCTCAAAGTTTATAAATTACCGGATTATTGGCAGTTTACTTTTCTGCTTTCCGATGCAGAATTGCGCCATTATATTAAAAATCAATCCACATAATCAGCCGGCTTCACAGTATATATCCATCCGGCTGAAGGAGAATTGGATTGCCCTATAAAGTTGCCTTACTCAATCGGATCGGACTCGTCCTGTTTTGCTTTACACATTTCCATTTTCAAAATACGTGAGCTAAGAGGTATCGCTTGAAGCTTTCTCCTTGTACAGGGTGCTCCTTAATAATATGCAAATATTTAAAGGTGTGAACCTACATGAAAAATTAATGTTAGTTTGCTTTATAAACTATGGTCCAAAAAGTTTCCTTACAAAAACTCGGGGTGTTGAAGTTTTAGAAAAAGATGGAAATTAATTAATATTTTCAAAACCGCTTCAGATATACTAAGTGACATATAAATCCGAACACCCAGTTTAAGCGGTTTTATTTTAATAAAATTTTGTATAAGTACTTAATGAAGCATAATAAGTAAATGATAAAAATTTAAAAATGATTGCACTGCTTTAAAGCCCTTTGACCTTTAATAATGTGTGGATGCACCCTGATGTGCTACGCATTCTCCAACGCGCCTAGGAATGCTTCTGATCAGGTGGTCAATGTCCTCCTGTGGTATCTCATTCCAGGCAACCACCAACTCCTCTCGAAGTGATTCTAGAGTCTGAGGAGGACGTTGCAAATTGAGCAATCTCCTACCCATCATATCCCACACGTGCTCAATTGGGGATAAGTCGGGAGATCTTGGTGACATCATTATGTTGAAAGAAGTCTATTGTGACTCTTGCAACATGTGGTCGGGCATTATCTTGTTGGAAAGTTGGATCTGTCAGGGTGTTAAGATAGGGTAAAAGATGGGGTTCTAGAACTTCGTGAATATAACGCTGCGCGTTCATGTTACCTCTGATGAAGATTAAAGGTGACCTGGAACCATAAGCTATAGCACCCCAAACCATAACTCCAACAGTGTGATGAACATGTCTTTCAACAAAAAACTGTGGATTCCTCCTTTCACCACGTCGCCTTCTAACCCTGGCACGACCATCGTGCATGCCTAAACAAAATCGAGACTCGTCACTAAAGACAATACTGTTCCATTCCTGATCCCAGAGTGACCGTTGTCTGCACCACTCAAGGCGATTACGTCGGTGTTCTCGAGTTAAAGGGAGGACCCAGTGTGGCCGGTATGAAAACAAGCCAAAACTTCTCATTCGTCGGTAAACACTTCGCATGCCAATAGGTCTTCCGTGTTCTGCAAACCATTCATTTGCAATGGACCTAGTAGTAAAGAAAGGGTCCCTTAAGGCCAATAATCTTAGGCGGCGATCTTCACGGTCTGTTGTTCTACGGCGCCGTCCAGTGCCCCTTGCTCTTTGCGTACGGCCTTCTCGAAGCCATGCCTGACAACACCTAACCACAGTGTCTACACTTCTTTGCACTCTAACTGCAATTGCCCGAAAAGAAAGTCCAGCTTCCCGAAGTCCCACTATACGGCCCCTATCAAACTCACTGAGTTGACGAAATCGTACAGGTCTCCGTACTCTAGGCATCGTAACCGATCGTAAAGGATGTCAAGAACCAAAATCCACCAACGTTGATTCTTTACTGCGGCTGAAATATTAATTTTTAGAGCGTTAGTGAATTAAAAAAAAAGCAGTATAAAAACCGGAATGTCCAACTGATAAGGCTGAAAATTTTTTCACTTGTTATTTACAGTAAGATAAATACATTCACCAACTTTTATTAAAATAAAACAATTTAAACTGGGTGTTCGGATTTATATGTCACTTAGTATATTTCACTGATATTTAGAACGTAATGAAGGTTAATAAAGTTTCATATTTTTCAATGCAAACATAACTTTTAGCTTTAACAGTGGTATGTGTACGGGTATTGGTTTCATTATTTTTTAAGAAAAAAATGGTACGACTATGGTTTTTTGCCAAATATTTTTGAATTCCCCGTTCAATTTAAAACAAATGATTGTTGTTGAATTGTTTTCCTTCGATGCGCCGTTTTTCAGTAAAAAAATAAAAACCGTTCTATAGTCTAACTTGCAAAATTTTTATTAATTTAATTGGAAAAATTAAACGCATTAGGGGTAATGAACAACAACTGGCAACA